ATGTGATTCTGCAATCTGTATTTGGGGTAAAAATGGGAGTTCATAACCCACTTGAATCTAATATATGAAATATAATATGTCAAGAGCTTTGTAATGTTTTGAACAATAAAAAAATTCAAAAAAAAATAAAGCAGAAATCATCTATATCTATCTGCCCAAGACAGAGCTTTTTTTTTATTTTCAAAAGAGTTCTGATTTGAATGATATATTACAGATTACACAAAAGCAAATTCAAACCAGTAAAAGAGGTATATTAAACTCATCCTCAGGTCCCTCATCCAAGAGGCTTCTTTACATCCACACTCATGATTTCCTCTACTTGAATTAAATAAGTGAGTCTTACCTCTTTACCACCAACACTTATCTTACATTTCCTTTATGTCTCAGCTCAAGTACCATCTCCTTCAGGAAGCCCTCTTGGTGTTCTCTAACTTCCTTTGCATCTTCTTCCTTTGAAGTTCTAGCACATGATTTGGCATTTCTATGGCCTTAGTACTATTTTGCTTTCTTTCTCTCTCTCTCTTTTTTTTTGGTAGTGGGGACTGAACCCAGAGCTACAGTCCCAGATCTTTTTTTTGTTTAATTTTGAGACAGGGTCTAAGTTGCCCAGACTTCCCTCAAACTTGTAGTTCTCCTGCCTCAGTCTCTTGAGTAGCTGGGATTATAAGTGTATATGCCATTGAACCTGGCTTTGAGCACTATTTTCAAATTGCTTTCATAAGTGTAAGTATTCCCACATTGAGTGCTATTCAAGAGCAAAGTGTGTCTGTAATTACCTCTTTTACATATTTTTATGAATCTAGCTCTGCCAGGTGTGATGGCACATGCCTATAATCCCAGGGATTCAGGAGGCTGAGGCAGGAGGATCACAAGTTCAAAGCCAGCCTCAGCAATTTAGCAAGGCCCAAGCAACTTAGCAATACCCTGTCTCAAATAAAAAAATAAAAGGGGCTGGTTTGTAGCTCAGTGGTTTAGTACCCCTAGGTTTAATCTAGCTCTGTGGCAAGACACACATAATAGATACTCAATGAAGACTTTCTGATTTCCAAACCTGCTTAACCAGCTGGCTTAAGAACTTAACAAGAGACTCTGGCACCTCCCTGTTGCTCACTCCTCCCACAGCACCCAGTACATGTCCTTTAAGCACTTAACACATTTGATAATTCCATGTTGATTTGTATAACTATCTATCTAATAATGCCAGCCTTTTCATTATATTCTAGGGTTCAAGAAGACAGGAACTTGGGTGTATACTGATCATCACTGTCTACCTGTGATCCATTACAGAACCTGCCAGTATACTATAAACATCTGCTGACTGGATGGATGATGAATAGAAAGACAGATGAACAATGGAAGATAGAAAAAATTATCTCAAAGAAACGAACATAAAGAAAGCAGATTAAGATTTTAGGGACTTAAACATTTGAGAAATCAATCTACTTACATTTCTGAAGAAACCAGGTGACTATATGCAAGCTTACTAAAACCTTGCCTGTTCCAAAGAAAGAGCTAGAGAATAGGCAGGTCTATTGCCCCATCTGATCTAGAGTCTAAAACATGAGTGATCATTTCATCTGGAAGGTACCATTATTTCTCCTTGTTATGTAAATTGCTCAAGTACAAAGCCATCATTTTTAGAAGACAGAGAAAATGTTAACAGCCCTAGTGAATAGGTTTGAGGCATTTTGGGATCATGTACCCCAAAGCACTACACACATAACCTCAGTGTGACAGCTCTGAGGCTTACAGATTCTGACAGTACCATCTAACTTAATTGGTCCAAAGTCAGCAACATGAGATGTCATGGTGCTGGCAATAAAAATTGCTGTGGCAGGGGACTGTAGGATCCTGCTGTTTCTGTAGTTAGACGAATAAATAGCAGGAAAAGCTGAGGAAGAAAAATTTAAAGAAAATCAGCATAATTTTGGAACCCTAGGTAGCTTGCTAATTAATTGAAAGATCTGACATTTCTATAATACTTTAGAATTTAAAAGCACTTTMATTTTTCCTCGCTCATTTAATCCTTACAACAACCCCATAAAGTAGATAAAATATTGTTAATTCTGTTAAACTGATGAGGAAATTTGGGAATAAGAGAAAGGTACTAGAAGCAAGTGGCCAGGAGTAAATTCACAGGTTCAAACCCCACACTGTCTTCACTGTGCTCTGCTCACCTCCATGTGAACCATGCCTCTTCAAGTTGCAAGCCAATGACTTTAGCATAGGTCATGAAAATGATGCCCTGAGTACAATTTATGAGAAATAAAACCCCTCTGAAGGCATTTCTCAGTTCACCAGAACTGAGAACTGTCTGGGAGTTGCTGTTCCCTCAGAGCTAGCCATCTTTCCAAACTCAGGTCTCAACTGAAAACTAAAGGCTCTTACCTATCTCAAGTCCTACAGGAAAAAAAAAAAAAAAAAAAAAAAGCCAGACAGCAAGAACACGGGTGAGGTACAGACCTTCACACCATCACTGCTGCATCATTCTTCCAGCTCACTTCTGTTGCTACCCCAATTTGTTTTGAGCATCCCACATCTCAACACCTTTCATTGTCTCTCACCCACCCAAATGCCCTCTGCCATATCTCTTGCTGCCAAGTTAAGGCAATACCACTCATTAAATCATTTCCCTGCATAAATCAACTTCTCTGTCCCCTCTCACACTTTGTTAATTTCTTTTTTTTTTTGGCAGTACTAGGGCTCGAATCCAGGTGCATTTTACCACCGAGTTATATCCCCAGCTATTTTTTAAAAATTGTATTTTGAAAGCTGGGCTGGGCTCAGTGGTGCAGCTGGGAAGGCTGAGACAAGAGGATTGCAAGTTCAAAGCCAGCTTCAGCAACACATGGCACTAAGCAACTTAGTGAGACCTTGTCTCTAAATTTAAAATACAAAATAGGACTGGGGATATGGCTCAATTGTTGAGTGCCTGAGTTCAATACCTTATACCAAATGGGAAAAAAAAAAATTTATTTTGAGACAGGGTCTCACTAAGTTACCAAGGCTGGCCTTGAACTTGTGATCCTCCTTCCTCAGCTTTCCAAGTGTCTGGGACTACAGGTGTGCGTTTCCACACCTGCTTGTTAAATTTTCTTGACTAAAATCCAAACCCATATACAGAAATGTGCACATATTAATCATAACAGCAGTATTATTCATAATAGTCCCAAAATACAAACAATCTAAATGTCCATCAACTTGTATATTCATGATTTAGAAGTAAATAATAATAGGATTAAGCAATAAAAAGGGAAAATTTATGATATATGCTATAATACATATGGACTTTAAAAACATGCTGAGTAGGGGCTGGGAATGTAGCTCAATGGTAGAGTACTTGCCTAGCACATGCAAGGCCCTGGGTTCCATTCTCAGAACCATGAAAAACAAAAAATACAGAAAAGCCAAATATATGTAAACAGTAAATAGATTAGTGGATCCCTGGTATTTGGAGTGGGAAAAAGAGATCTTACTAGAAGATGAAAATGTTGTTAAATAGAATTTTAGGACTGAGGCTGTAGTTTAGCAGTAGAGCACTTGCCCAGCCAATCAAATCCCAAGTGCCATTCCCTGCACCACAAAAAGATAAAAGTAAGTAAAATGGTTTTTAAAATAATAAAAGTCAATTGTGGTAATGATTATACAATTTGATGAATTTACTAATACTAATAATTATTTAGTTGTACACTAAAAATGGCTTATATATTATACTTCAATAAAGTTGTATTTAAAAAAAATCAACCCTGTTAAGTTTACCTAATCTGTGCCTTACTAGTGTGGCTACAGCTATACATAACTAGAAAAATACACCCTGGCCACAGAGCCTGTCATTCCCCACTCCTGCTCAGCTCCAGCCTCACTAACCTCCTATTGTTGCTTCCTCACCAAAGTCTTTTCACAGCTTTTCCACCAGATACCCACATGCCTTCTTTCCTCCCTTGTTCAAAGGTTTTGTTTAAACACCATCTTTTCAGTGAAGCCTATCCTAACCATGTAGCTAAAGGTGTATGTAGCCTTTAGCTCTAGCTAACTCTCAGTCCTTTGAACTTGCTAATCTTTTCCCTTAGCATTTATCATATTCTAATATACTATATAATTTATGTCTTATTATATTTATTGTATGTTTCTCCTGTCCATCTCCAAACCACCAAATCACCATTCCCTTCACTCCTACACCTGAATCTCCTGATCTCCTATCATTCATTCTGAGACCTTTCTGAAGAGTCAAACAAGCCCTGGTCTTTTTGGTGTCTGTATTTAAGATCTAATACAACCTATCCCAATGCTGACTGAGATTTGAAACTGAAAATTATAGACATGAACCTCTAGCTTCTCAAGGACACAATCTTCCTAATAGTGTCAGAATACTCTCAGTTTACGTAGCTTAAGTTGTTTACCAAAAATAATCAGTATTGAACACTGATTTTTTTGAGTTTTCCACAGTAGACCCGTCTGCATTACTTAGAAGCCTTTCATCTGAATGATACCTCAGTATACTTTGTATCCAGATGCCTTGAAAAAGAGCATTCTTAGATTTCTCAGGAAATGACAAAAACATTTTTTAAAAAAAGAAATGATAACTTCCAGTCCTGGCTGACTGAGGTAGCTATTTAATCCTATAATCTATTTTTCACCCTATTGTTCTTAGTATTTCTCTTAGGATTAAAGCCACATACCTAGAAGCATCAAGGAATGGTCTATGGGCCAAGCTGATCCATTCTTCCCGATTGGATAAATATTTCGGCTCCCGCAGTGTTTCTCTCATGGTGTCCAAATCCACTAAATAATGACATTTGCTGATGTCAATCTGAAATGGAGAAAGGCCAACTTTTCATCAGTAATTGCAAAGGTCCCTGCAGGGTAGGGAACATTAATTACAATCTTAAGAATTTCCACAGGGTTTTAGGGGAACAAACAGTCATGCCCTCAGACAATGTAACCTATGCTTTCTTCACTTAAATAGGAGTGGAAGGGTATTATTTAGATTACTGGTTGGGGGGGAAACATGTATGTAAGCTTTAGGTGGTCTGTTTATAGTTTGGCTTCTTAAATCCCTCTAGTCCCACAGATACTTTTGAAGTTATCTTGAGTCTACAAGCTACTTCTGGAAAACCTCCTTTCCGATTACTGTTGCCCCATTCCAATCTATCACCTCTATTCCAGACAACAAAAGGGCATGACTAAATTCAAAAGCTAATATGTGAGGAAGCCTGACACTTCTGACAGAGCCATGAAGGATACACTGTACCTCATGAATGGTATAGCAATATCATGTGTATCATCTCCTTTGAAAAGTCAACATAATTGACACCAAGATATCAGAACTGTTCCTGCAGCAAAAGTTTAGTACAACTGAGATATCAGAACTGCATGGGTGAAGAAGATTATGAAAAATATGTTTTAGCAGAACTAGAGTCATTTAGTTGCAAACAATATGAATTCACCAGAACTCATAGTACAATATTAATATATTCATTTAAAAGCAGGTTGGTACTATGTTTTTCACAAAATTGACTAATTCAATGGATCATACTACACCATCTGTAGGTTCCTTCTGTTCTTAAAAAGTTCATTTCAAATTAGAATCAAATTCTCCCTCTCATCTCCAAGCCATCAGAATATTTAGCAACCACAGGAGAATTTTTAAACATTTTAAGTTTTTAAAAAGTTTTTAAAAAAAGTTTCTAGGAGAAACTTCTTTCCTAAAGATGGAAAACAGATTACTAATATAATCAGTTAAAGAAAATTAAATCTCTGGTACAGAATAGAGGACACAGTAACCAACCCACAAAACTACAACTATCTTATATTTGATAAAGGGTCTAAAAGCATGCAATGGAGGAAGGATAGCATCTTCAACAAATGGTGCTGGGAAAACTGGAAATCCATTTGCATCAAAATGAAGCTGAATCCCTATCTC